TTGGGTGCTAAGCCTAGCCCCCGCTCCTCGAAGCTCTTGGTCAGAGGGATACAGTCATCAAAAGAAACAAAGGCAGTACAGCCTCTGGGCTGTGATTGTCACGTGGCACTCCTGTGCCTGGCACTGTGCGTCGAATGGAGAGACCGTGAAGAAGGCCCTCGCTATCAGGGCATGGAGGGGTTGACCTGTGTAGTGGTGTATTCCAACTACGTGGGGGACATAGGGTCTTCTTGCTCATAGGGTTGGGGAAGGCTCCTCAGAAGTGCCATCTTAATCCAAAAGAATATGGGAGAGAAGGCCAGCCCAGAGCCATTGGTGACACAGGGTAGGAGTCATTAGTCACTCCTCCCTCTAGGGATGGAGCTATTCATACGACCGCCTGCTGTCACTGGTCTGTCCTGAGCCCTCCTTGCCAGCCAGTAGAACTCCTCAACCCTGGAAACCCAGCTCAGGCCTTCCTCCTCCAGGGAATCCCCATCTCTGGGCTTCCCCTGGCCCCAGAACAGGGAAGGGTATCACTGTTCTTTTGTTACTTCTTTGTCCCCCTGACTGAACTGGGGGCTCTTGAATACCAGAGAATGATGGTAATTCTGCCGTGTTGTTCCAGCCCCTGGCAGAGTCTGGCTCAGGGCAAGGGCGGTTGATGAACATACATCAGCTCAACCAGGACCTCAGACAAGTTCCCCGAGCGCAGAAGGGAACTTCGAGTCCTTCTTTTTCTTTTCGTCTGTAGCACTGACGAGTTGGATGGGTGGTTTTTCTGGGGATCCTCTCAACTCCAGAATAAACGAACATGTGAACTAGGTGCTCGCTCAGTTCTCCTACGCATCTCAGGTTTGTGAGTGCGTGTGCGTGTGCATGTGTGTGTATGGTGTGTAGAGTCTGATTCAAAGGAGGATAAAGAGGGCTGGTTTTTTCTTTTTTAATGTGTGTTTCAGCAAACTCCGTAACCCCCTGGTGGGGTGAGGAGGCCTTAGGGAGTCGGGTTGCCCTGGGACCGAGCAGGTGGATTCCTGTTTTGCATCATTTTTACCCCCAGTCTCCACCCAGTGGACTGACTTCCAGGCTGCTTTGTGGGTGTTTGTCGTTTGCTCTTGCAGAGAAGTAGCAGTCACAATAGAGTGACAAACCTGGGTGCCCCCTCGGTGAACAGATTTGAATATCACCGTATTGTCATAACCGCTTCAAGTAATTTTTTTAAAGTTTTTATTTATTTATTCATTCATTCATTCATTCATTCATTTGATCACAAGTAGGCAGAGAGACAGGTGGGGGGCGGGGAGCAGGCTCCCCGCTGAGCAGAGAGCCAGACACGGGGCTCGATCCCAGGACCCTGAGATCATGACCTGAGCCGAAGGCAGAGGCTCAACCCACTGAGCTGCCCAGGCGCCCCTCCTTCAAGTAATCTTAATTTAAAAAAACTAAAATACTACGATTGAGTTAAAGGTTCTTTAGTCCTCACCTTTGGTGCTATTAAAAGTTCATTTGTTATACACTTAGATAGGGTTTAAAAGGTAAATTTTATGTTATGAATGTTTTACCACAAGAAAAAACTTACCAAAAAAAAGGAAAACTCAAGACAGTTCATTTAGGGCCAAGTCAGAGTCTGGACACAGCTGGGTCTCTCCTCGGTGGCTAGTATCAAAGAGCTATATTCGCCTGTCCTCGAACTTCTAACCATGGACGTAACTGTAACCCCCACCTGTTCCTGGCCCAGGCTTCCCTGTCCTCAGTGACACCACTGTCCTCCTAGGCATTGGCCATGGTCCTTCATTCATCCCTTCCCCTCACCCACACCAGCCTGTCTTCAGCTCTGTCGCTCCACCTCCTGGTTACTTCCCAGATCCTCCAGTGTCCGCACCCTGGGCCACCAGTCCCTCTGCTTTCCTTTTTGGCTTCCTGAAGTCTGCTTTCCACCTAGCAAGTAGAGTGACCCTCTGAAGATAAGAGCCCTCATCCCTTCCCCTGCCCAGGGCTCCCCAGCAGCACCCTGACAGAGCCGTCCACATCCCCCTTGAGGCCTCTCTGCTACCCAGAATCTTCTTCTGGCACGGAGCCACATGGCTTGCCCCCTTGCTTCCTATAGGCTTTTCCTTCTTTTGTTCCTCATTGTATTCCAGTCAGTTTGTTGGTTTGGACACTCACCTTGTCACAGTGTCGCCTAGTGCAGGGAGCCCTTTCAGCCAGACCAGCAGCTGTGTCCTTTGACTGTCTCTTTCTCTGTCCAGGAACTCCCCTGCCTTTCTACCCCACAGGCCACCTTAGAACCACAACCACCCACTTCTCTCAGGGCCAGCCTGATTCTGTCCATGGACGTGGGGTGCGTTCCCTGCGCTTGGGTGCCGTATTAGGCCTTAAAATACGTCCCACCAAGGATGTGCAGAGCACTGTGATCAGAGGTATTTGAAATAAATCTTTTCTCTGTGGTATGGTACCAGTTTGATGTATAGTTAAATTCATGTGTTTGTGCTTGCGTTCTTCCATATAGTAGGGTTTTGTTACCATTTGTTTTTGTTTTCATTTTGGTTATGTAAACTTCCACGTGATTCAGAGAGGTTTTGCCTCACGCCTATACCTTACCTCATTCTCACCCTCCCTGAGACCAGAAAGCCCTTCTTCCCTCGTTTCTTCCATGAGAGGCTGCGGACAGTGTGGGTGAGCCGGGGTGCTCTTTCGCAGCCTCTCCGGCGTGGCTACCCGGCTGTAGGCTTAGTGGCAGCCCTTCACTCAGCCCTTGCCGGCAGCGCTCCGCGCGGTCTGCAGCACTGGGGCAGGAAAAACAATGCCATTACAAATATCATATACCTGCTGTCTTGCACTTCTGGGGTTGTCTCTCTAGGGTAGAGTTTTAGAAGGGATCGCCGCCGATGGCGTTGATACTCTTGATTGTTTCTAAGAGGCATCGCTGGGGCATGTGGTTTTTTACTTGACCTTATGGTGGTTAAACTGTTTGGGGCATATAAATGAGCGTTCTGGAGGAGTCAGAGATCTTTCCCGTGGGTGCAGTGTTGTCCCCTGACTCCAAGACTGTCCAGGTTTAGGGAGCAGCCGTGGCCTTCAGCAGTGCCCCTCTGGTGGCCTGTGTAGAAGTGGTCATTCCAGTCCCTCTGCCACTGTGCGTCTGGCAAGCTCTCCCTCTCCCCTCTCGGATGGGGCATACAGGCCACAGACCACACCTACCTTCCCAAGATTCTTCCTCATTTCCTGCTGAGACGTTAAGACTGTGAGAATTGAAAACTGAGCTCTGTGCTGTAGCAGATTAGAGACCCTCACTTCACAGCAGGAAAAGATCTGTGGGCCACGGGCTGAATCGGGGTGACCCCGGCAGCCGTGGTTAGAGCCCTGAACTGCTAGGGGATGACCCAGGATAGGGAGGAACTTAGGGGCAGTTTTGTTTCCAGACCCCTGACCTGAGCCTTTTAGAAAAGACACGTCCTCATGGTGCCAAGTGAGTCCTGATACGAACCCCCCTTTGGCAGCTCACCCATATTCTTTGAGTCTGGTTTCCAGTGCGCACCGCAGTGCCTTCGCTGGAATCTCCACAGTGTGAACAAGGGGGAAGTTGCTTGGGGTAGACCAGCCAGGAGGCAGTGACCAGTACTGACGCGAGTCCTGTGGGACAGGGCAGCTCTAGGGCTGAGATACTGAGGACAAGAATAGTCTTATTCTTTTCTAGAATGAATTGCCAAGGGCGCCTGGGTAGCTCAGTCAGGTAAGCGTCTGCCTTCGGCTCAGGGAGTCCCACATCGGGCTCCCTGATGATCAGGAAGTTTGCTTCTCTCTCTTAATCCTCTCCTCTCTCATGCTCTCTCTCTCTGAAATAAATAAAATCTTAAAAAAAAATAGAATGAATTGCCAAAAGGCCAGCAGACAGCCGATTCCAAGCCCATGATTCTTTCCAAGCCTCCCCAGCCTGGGTCGTGTTTCTGCCCTCTTAGCCCTGCCCTGAGAACATCATGGCCAGCCTCTGATTCCAGGGTCCGGGGCCTCATGGTGGTCATTTCCAGTGCACGCAAGGAAGGGACCCTGCCCTGTGGAGCCAAAGTCCAGGGAAGGAGCCGCTCTGTCAGTGCGGGAGAACGGGAGGCGCCCACCGCGGGGCGGGGAGGTGCGCTTCTGTGCCTTCGGCCTTGCTCTTTCCTCCGCTGGTCGGCCGAGGCGGTCACGTGGTAAGGGAACGTCCGGTGATAAAAGTTCACCAGACCCGGGATGGCTTCTCTTCTCACTCCGGAACCCCGGGCAGCAGTTTCTGGTTGCCCGAGTTGGCCAGTGTTTACGTAGCGCCTTTGCGACTTCTCTCCCTCTGGGGTGTTGGTACCTATTGTCATGATGAGGAAACTAAGGCACAGGATGTTGAGGTCACTTGCTTGGGCCCATGTTTTAAAATTGCAGAGTCAGGATTTGAGCTCAGGTTGTCTGGCTCCGAAGCTTGTTCTTTCCACAGCACTGTGCCGTGCCCGCCTCCCAAGGGGACAGCGTGAGGCTCTGTCACCGTCAGTAAGTCGTGCTGTGCCCCATGACTGGCTTTTGCCAAGCACGCAGTTGAGGAAACTTAAACTGCAGAAGCCAGAGTCACGCCCAGGCCAGGTCTGCACGCACAGGAGCCCCGCCCGCGTTTTGGGTGGGCAGCCCCCTTTGGCAGTCAGGGGCCTCCTGTGAGCCGCCCGGCCCCGGGGGGCTTGGGCACAGCCTGTAAGGTGGCCCCCTCCACGGCGTTGCACCAGGAAGCCACACGCTGCTTCCACCCAGGAAGTTGTCCCCTGTCCAGGCTGCTCGCTCTCCTATATGCTAGGAGGGGGACTCCGAGTGGTCACAGGACGGGTCAGGCAAAGCCCCAAGTCCCTAAAGAAATCCATGAAGGGGAGCGGCGGCAGGACCTGGGCAGGGGGCGGCGGCAGGGCAGCCCTGGCTCTCAGAGCCCCGCCTTGCCTGCCGCCGCCCGCTTTCTCGAGAAATCCGTGTGCTCCCTGTGGCACTTACATGCTTATTTAACACTTCAGGGAAGAAAAGTCAGAAGAGCAGGATCTCCAGGGCCTCAAGGACAAACCCCTGAAGTTCAAAAAGGTGAAGAAGGATAAGAAAGAAGACAAAGAGGGCAAGCATGAGCCCCTGCAGCCCCCGGCTCACCACTCCGCTGAACCGGCAGAGGCAGGCAAAGCGGAGACCTCAGAAGGCTCGGGTGCGGCCCCAGCTGTCCCGGAAGCCTCTGCCTCCCCCAAACAGCGGCGCTCCATCATTCGTGACCGGGGACCCATGTATGATGACCCCACTCTGCCCGAAGGTTGGACCCGAAAGCTCAAGCAAAGGAAGTCGGGCCGCTCCGCTGGGAAGTATGATGTGTATTTGATCAAGTAAGTAGGGGCGACTCCCACCTGCAGAGCAGGGAAGGCTGGGTGGGCAGGAGGTCAGGGACAGGTGCTAAGACACTGGTGGGGATCCCTTAGAGTGGCAGTCCTCTGTTGATTGTAGATCAAGAAAATGTGTGCGTCTCCCCCTCTTGTGTTGGGGGCTTCAGTAGACCACTTGCAGACTGCAGCAGGTACGTTTGGAACGATGGTGTGCAGAGCTCGCCATCCTGAGTGAGATGGACACAGGGTAGCAGAGTGCGACTTCTCGCCACCAGCCCTGGAGGTCTTGTCAGCAGTTTAGCAGAGCAGTAGGGCCTTCCCAGGGCCACAGGGAGGACACCAGGAGAGGTCCCCTGGGAAACACTGAGGACACAAGGCCCTGCTCAGGCCGGACCCGCCACGTGTAGTGGCCTGTGCTTGGAAGGCAAGCGGAGCTCTCTGGGTTCCTCCCATTTATTTCCTCGCTGGAAAACAGCCAGCTGAGGGGCTCTTCTCAAAACCTGTTAAACTCCTCTCCTTCCTGTGAGTCATTCTGTGACGTGTCTTTCATGACCCAGGAGAAGTAAGAATTCATAGGGCTCAGTCCGCTCCGTGAGACATCCTCTCCATCTCTCCGTGTGCCTTTCCAGCTGTCCCTGGTGTGCTTCCCCGCTTTGTGCTGGTCTGCTCGTTGGGCATTTTGTGTCCAAACAGCAGCTTCCAAGCCAGAGCTTCAGAGGAGGACTGAATAAGTACGTCTCAGTTCTGGCCCTTAGACAATCCAGAAAAGGTTAACAGTTTTGGAAGGACATTTGCAGACAACCTCGTTTGATTCCAACAACTCTGACAAGGGGGAGCAAAGCACTGTCCTGTGGACAGATGAGGAAGCCGATCCCAGAGAGGCTAAGCGGCATGCCCAGGTTCCGGCAAAGGAGTACTCTATTTACTGACCAGGCCCAGGCCCCAGCCAGCAGGGTGGCCCCTCAGCCTGATGGCTCAGGAGGGTCCCCAGGCCAGGCCCCTTTGGGGGCCAGAGGAGGGGCCTTGGTGGCAGGTGGACCCTCAGGGGCGTCCGGGCAGCAGCTTCAGAGCAGCCGGCACCCAGCTGTCCAGTCACTAGAGCACACCCTGCAGGTGCCCACCGCCCACCGACCCAGTCACTTCATGTGTGACCGTGGCCATGCCCCTCTAGTTTTCGCCTGTTTTGGCTTTTCCCTCATGGGACTCTCATGCAGTCATGTCATCAGGCAAATCAGTTGCAGAAGGTGCTGTCACAGAGTTCACCGTCTTCTGCTCTGCCTCATCTTTGTACAGTAGTGTGGAAGCTTCTAATCATTCTTTCTGTCTCTCCGTTTGTCCCCACAGTCCCCAGGGAAAAGCCTTTCGCTCTAAAGTGGAGTTGATTGCGTACTTCGAAAAGGTAGGCGACACCTCCCTGGACCCTAATGATTTTGACTTCACGGTAACTGGGAGAGGGAGCCCCTCCCGGCGAGAGCAGAAACCACCTAAGAAGCCCAAATCTCCCAAAGCTCCAGGAACTGGCAGAGGCCGGGGACGCCCCAAAGGCAGCGGCACTGCGAGACCCAAGGCAGCGGCATCAGAGGGTGTGCAGGTGAAAAGGGTCCTGGAGAAAAGTCCCGGGAAGCTGCTCGTCAAGATGCCTTTTCAAGCTTCACCTGGGAGCAGGGCCGAAGGGGGCGGGGCCACCACGTCCGCCCAGGTCATGGTTATCAAACGCCCTGGCCGGAAGCGAAAAGCCGAGGCCGACCCCCAGGCCATTCCCAAGAAGCGGGGGCGCAAGCCAGGCAGTGTGGTGGCGGCCGCTGCCGCCGAGGCCAAGAAGAAAGCCGTGAAGGAGTCTTCCATTCGCTCTGTGCACGAGACCGTGCTCCCCATCAAGAAGCGCAAGACCCGGGAGGCCGTCAGCATCGACGTGAAGGAGGTGGTGAAGCCCCTGCTGGTGTCCACCCTGGGCGAGAAGAGCAGCAAGGGACTGAAGACCTGCAAGAGCCCCGGGCGGAAGAGCAAGGAGAGCAGCCCAAAGGGGCGTGGCGGCAGCGCCTCGTCGCCCCCCAAGAAGGAGCACCACCACCACCACCACCACTCGGAGCCCCCGAAGGCACCGGTGCCGCTGCTTCCGCCCCCGCCCCCGCCCCCGCCCGAGCCGCAGAGCTCCGAGGACCCCGCCAGCCCCCCTGAGCCCCAGGACTTGAGCAGCGGCGTCTGCAAAGAGGAGAAGATGGCTAGAGCGGGCTCGCTGGAGAGCGACGGCTGCCCCAAGGAGCCGGCTAAGACTCAGCCCGCGGTCGCGACCGCCGCCACGGCCGCAGACAAGTACAAACACCGAGGGGAGGGAGAGCGCAAAGACATTGTTTCATCCTCCATGCCAAGGCCAAACAGAGAGGAGCCTGTGGACAGCCGGACGCCCGTGACCGAGAGAGTCAGCTGACTTTACCCGGCGGACGCGAAGCGAACCAACAAGAATAAAGGCAGCTGTCGTCTCTTCTCCTTCTGGGTAGGGCTCTGACAAAGCTTCCCGATTAACTGAAATAAAAAATATTTTTTTTTCTTTCAGTAAACTTAGAGTTTCGTGGCTTCAGGGTGGGAGTAGTTGGAGCATTGGGATGTTTTTCTTACCGACAAGCACAGTCAGGTTGAAGACCTAACCAGGGCCAGAAGTAGCTTTGCACTTTTCTAAACTAGGCTCCTTCAACAAGGCTTGCTGCACATACTACTGACCAGACAAGCTGTTGGCCAGGCTTCTTAGGGTACGCCTGCGCCTCCCTCCCGTCCGACCTCACCCCGCCCCCCCATGTGGCCATTAGGGACAGAGAGTGCCATGGGTGCCCCCGTCTCCGCTCTCCTCTCCCCCCCAACCCTGCCCCACCCCCACCCTCCGGCTCCCCCGCCTTCCCCATCCCCACCCACATGGGGACAAGGAGGTGTGAGGCAGGAGAGACAGGTGGATCCTTTAGAGAAAAAGACAGAGATGGCCAGTGGCTACAGCCCCTGCGTGATCTCACCCATGGTGGCACAAATCCGGCCCCACGCTAGTCCCAACCCAAAACTGACTAGGACATTTCACAGGACAGGGAAGTAGCACCTATTTGCTCCAGTTCTGGCCTGGCTAGGAAGGGGTCAGTCCTTGTGCTGCTGGGTGTAGACTGGCCTGAGGCAGGTGAGAGGACGGCGCAGGGCCACTCTCCAGTGAGTGGCACGAGAGAGGGGGGTGGGCACATGGAAGCAACAGGACGAGGCACAGGCAGGCTGGCCCCGGGCTCCTGGGCTTCTCCGGGTGGCAGAGGGCAGTGGGGCCGATGGAATTCCTAATCACTCAGAGCAGTCTGTGGCTGGTAGGTAGAGGCCTAGTGGGCAAGTTGGGGTGCCGGGGGAAAGAGGGGAAAATGTTCTTCCAAAACTTTCCAATTCTACTCCTTTAGGGACAGCTTAGAACTATTTGCACTATTGAGTCTTCATGTTCCCACTTCAAAACAAACATGCTCTGAGAGCAAACAGGCTTGAATTGGTGACACTTTGTCCCTCAAGCCACCAGACGTGACGGTGTTCACAACTACCTGTACCTGCGCTTGTTTTAAAGTGGGCTCAGCACATAGGGTTCCCACGAAGCTCCGAAACTCTAAGTGTTTGCTGCAATTTTATAAGGACTTCCTGATTGCTTTCTCTTCTGTCCTTCCATTTCTGCCTTCTTTCATTCATTCTTTCATTTCTTCCCCTCCTTGTTCATCCCCTCGGTACCAGGCACCCACAGCTCCCAGCTTTACCTGAGCTGATGCTGGCCAGCTCAGGCCACCAGATCACACCCTGCCCTTGGCCTTCCCACTGCCAGCTCTAGCCCTAGCCCCACCCCATTTCAAGCCCTGAGGAAGCCCCAGGCTCTGCTGAGTCCTCCTGGCCCTAAGGCCTTGGCCTCTCCGAAGGGCAAGAGGGCAGCAAGGTCTCGCTCTCTTAGGGAGCGCCCTTCCCTTGGGCAGAGCTTGGATTCCGGGCCTTCCCAACCTTCCACTCGAGAGAAACAGGCAGGAGAAGTTGGGCAGATTTGGATTTGGGAGCTGAGGGTAGCACAGAGGCCCCCGTGGCCTGCCATAGTCTTCAAGTAGCCCAGCCCTGACCTTGGCCTCAGCCAGGCCCACCTAGCATAGTGTGGTGCGACAATGCAGCCGATGGGAAGAAATGCAGCTGCCTCAGACCTGAGCTGGGCCCCCCCTCGCCTCTCTGCTCCTCCTGTAAGGTAACCATGAGTTCTCCTCTGGTGGTAGACGTTTGGCTTTGGCTGGAGACGGGTGGGGCCAGTGTATGACACATGTCCACCTCTGTGCCGGGGGACAGTGTTGGGGCCGAGAGGCTTGGCTTTGCTGTGGGTGTTCATTGCTCAGTCTCCGTTTGGGAGTCCGTCCTGCGTTCTGTGTTCAGGAAGTCCTTATCTAGCTGCACATCGTCATCATACTGGTCTGTCCTTTTCTGTGTTTACAGAGATGTCTCTTGTATCTAAATCTGTCCACCTGAGAAGTACCTTATCAAAGTAGCAAGTGAGACAGCAGTCTAATGCTTCCAGAAACACCCACAAGCACGTCCCATGCGAGCTGCCGCCATGAACTGTCAAGTGCGTGTTGTCTCGTGTATTTCAGTTACTGTCCCCTGGCTTCCTTACTGCGGCGTAACCATGAAGGAGTGAAACACCCTAACCGTCCAGCACTTCCTTGCCAGCCCTTAGTGATCAGGAACCGTAGCTGACAGTTCCAATCAGTAGCTTAAGGAAAAAACGCGTTTGTCTCTTCCAGAATGGTTAGAAGCAAGGGAGTTTGCCCCCATTCTGTCTGCAGAATCATAGTTGGCCTTTGCAGCATTTTTGTACCCATTTTCTTACGCTGCGAAAGCAAGTCCCACAACCAGACCCGCCCTGCTGTTGGCCCTCTGGGCTTCACTTCTGACTCCTCCCCAGGAAGGGAAGGGGGGGTGGGAGGAGGGGGCAAGTCCTTCAGGATCCCTCTTCCTTCAAGGACAAAAGACTCCTGACCCTGAAGGGGCCTCGCACTCCAGGCACCCACAAAGGATGCCTGTCCACGCGAGTACAGTGTCTGGCCAATTTGTCCTGGAGATGCCGTCCGTTCGGGTTGGTTGGGTTTTTACGCATTAAACTTAGTCCAGTGGAATGTGACCCCCAGAACCAGTGTCAAGAGCCGGCCTCTCCATCAGCTCAGTACCGTCTGGTCCGGGGAAGAAGAGTGCGGGCCCACCACGCCCCCCTTCCACCTGAGACCATTCGGGGGCTGACTGGGCATTGGTGGTTGAGAGCACAGCGTTTCAAGTATCATTTCCTTTTGGTCCAGCCTGACCTGCAACCCCCTCGCTCCCCAGCTGCTTCTCCTTATAGTTCCAAAGCTGCAGGCAGCCCCTGAGGCTCCTTGGGGTTTTCTCGCCCCTCCCCTTCCTTCCACGTTCCCTCTTCTTCACCTAATAAAGGCATCACAAGTAAGTCACCATTAAGCAGGTAGCCTTGGTGGTTTGTCGCCCTGGCAGGCAGGGGCCCTGCAGCTCCCGTACGACCCCGGTCCTGGGTCAGGTTGACAGGTTGGAGGGAAAGCCAGGCCATGGGATTCTCACCAGCCGTGTCCAGCCCAGTTTGGGGGTGTGACCTTGATTTTGTGTGTGCTTGAACATCACGAAGATTGGGGGCATCTTTTAGGGACTGTGTGAAGAATTTAGAAACTAACCAACAGCTTTCAGACGCCTGTTTGTAGGGGTGGGTCACAGTCACTTTTGGTCTCCCCAGCCCTGGTTCTAGTTGTTAGTTACTACCTCCTCTCCCAACAGAATGCTGTATGCCCTTGAGCTCATCCCACAATGCCCAGCCCAGCCCTGCCCTGCCCTGCCCATTGGTGGGCATGCCCTAACCAGTGGAATCGCTGGCCTTGACACTGTAGTGAACCAGGGCACTGAGCCACAGCCAGGCTCAAAGACAGCTCCCTTCTGCTGCTACTCTATTCCCATTATCAGAAGGCACAGGCGACACCTAGAAATGTCCCGTTCCCCAGTCCGTCTGTGCCAGACTACCCAAGGACCTCAGCTCCCTCAGCTCCCGGGAAGGGGAAAGCCGTGGTGGTGGCCCAGGGACACTGGCCACAGCTGGCACCAGGCTTCTACTCCTGAGACCCCCATGCGGGGGTGGGCAACAGTCTGTTCAGGGGCACCATTCCAGGCTAAAGGCCGCAGACGGTGGCACCATGACCCAGGGCCAGCCCCAAGTTGTCACCTGCTCTTCCGCGCGGCTTTTGGTTGCTGCCAGGGATCGTGGAGGAGGGTCCTAGCGCGCAACAAGCTACCGTGCTTGGGGGGAAAGGAGTTTTTTAGCTGACAGGACCTCTGGATTTCAGTAACTTAGTGAGCCGCGGCAGCGCAGGAGGGAGCCACAGGTATAACCAGGTGGAGCCTGGCAGCCAGGCTCCGCGCCCCCTTCCCACCCCCCCTTCCCAGAGCTCTGCATCTGGAGCTCTGGGTGGGCGGAGCCAGGGAAGGTTGCGGGGCCGTTCTTGGAGAAACCCTTTTCTAGTCAGTGTTGTTCCGAATTGTTCCCTAATGTGAGTTTCACGCACAGATTTTGGGACAGGTGGCCCAGACCTCAGCAGGCAAGCTGCGTTTAGAGCCCTGTGGGTGTTCGCCTGGCCAGTTCTCAGAGTCCTGGCTCATGGTGTCAGGGGAGGGGGCAAGCATGGCAGCGTCGCCTGGCCTCTGGTGGAGCCCCTGCCCCTGCGGCCGCACCGTGTCGCGTTCCCGGTCTTACTCTGTTCCCTGTAAGGGCCCCACCTTTGCTCTCCCCAGCAGTAAACTCGTCCACTTTGGAGGGGTTTGTCGAGTCTCCATTTTTGCGTCTTTCTCTTTCAGATGCTGTTTCAGTCTTTAGAAGAGGCATAGTCTAATTGTTATATATCACTAGGATACTGCCTCCCCCAGGGTCTAAAGTTACATATTAAAGGGGGGAAAAGTGAACAACAACAATTCAGAAGGAAAACCTAGACAACATTTGGCAGAAAATTGCATTTCGATGTTTCCGAACGAGTAAGAGCAAGCTTTTGCAAAACTGCCGATCTAAAAATATTTGGAGCTTGGCCTGCCATGTTTGTGCTACAGGAAAAGGGGAGTCCAGCCTGAAGCAGCTGGATCTGAGACTCGGGGCCGTCCTAGCACTGAAGAGCCCCCTGCCTGTGGGGCTGCCTGCCTGGTCCCCAAGCTGTAGAAGCCCAGCGCTTGGTGTGGGAAGCAGAGTGTCACCAGTGACTCCAAAGGCCTGCGACGTCCTCACCACCCAGCACCACCTGTTTCTTGTTCCTTTCTCATCTCTGCAGGATGTGCCCCAAGTGCTGATTTGTTGGGGGAAAAGGGAGTTCTGACTAGCGCCCCCGCAACTAGGAAGGTGAGGGTGAGGTCTCCCACTTGGTCTCTGCCTGTCCCCTGAGGACATTCCCCCTGGTCTGCTGTCCTTGGGGCCGAAGGTCTAGGTGAAGTGGTGCGCCCTTCTGCACTCAGAGGTGACGACAGAGGCCTAAGCACGTCCTGTGGTGTGTGTCCTCCTCGCCCCTCACCAGCGAGAGCCCCTGGGCCAGAGGGAGGGCAGGCACAAGAGCAGGTACCGAGACCCTCACCAAGGGAAGTCCGGCCTTTGAGTCTGGAGAGCATTAGGGAAACTTGCAAATTGCCTTTGCTTCCCTGCCCCCCTTCTAGCTTACCTTTTCTCAGGTCCTCAGCAGCGAGAGACAATGAGATGAAAAGGCCAAGAGGTTTGGCTCCTGCTCACTGGTAGTCCCTCTCCCTTCAGTGTTTGTGTGTCCAGTGACAAAGGTGTTCTTCCTGGTGACCCTGATTATATCCAGT